CGGTGGCTCAATCCGGAAATAACATCAAATATAACCAGTTATAATTTCATACCTTTTAGTACCGGTCCAAGAACTTGCGTGGGAATAAAAATGGCAATTTTAGAATTTAAATGTATATTAGCTGTGATTATTAGAAATTTAGAGTTTAAATTAGTCGAAGGTTTTACTTTTGAAGTGAAATATTTGTTTGTAGCTAAACCTCTTCCCGGAATTGATCTATTGGTTTCAAGAGTAGATTGTTAAAATTATGTAATATTGTGATTTGGATATCTATTATATTAGGGTTAGGGTTGAGACTTGGTTTCTCTAGGGTGCCGAACATTTTTCAAAGCATTCTTTTGCAGTCAACCCTATATATAATCAACCCCAATACAATCACAATCTTTATATCAAGCAAATACTCAAATTGATTTGTATTAGGTTATTAATTTTTTGCATCTAAAATTCTTGCTTTTACTATTATTAGTTATTACAACTATGATATTACTTACACTGGTATTTTTTTTGTTTTCAAATTATACTTTGTAATTACATATCTGAATGCATATATATATTTATTTAATAATGAATTTAGTATACAAAATAACTAAAATTTGATGAATAAATTATGTTAACCAATCAGATATAAGATTTTGTAAATTAATTCTATTTTGAACTGAATATAATCTATAAGGTAACTGTGTAATGCATTCATGCTAAAAATCAGAACTAAAAACAAATATTGTAGTTAACAAATAGTTTAAGTAATATATAAACAAGAACTAATCTAGTATCTCATTAATATATTATAAAGTATTTGATATACATTACTAAGCAGTTGACTGTTTTAGACAATCAAACAGAAATTACAAATTATTATATAATAAATTATCAGGTTATTAAATTATCTAAAAGATTATTTTGCTATTGCCTTTAATAATTATTAAATATCAAATAAATAGACAAATTAATCTTTATTGGATTATTAATTTTTGGATATAAAATTTTTACATTTACTATTATTAGTTATCACATCTATAATATTACTTATTTTTGTATTTTTTGTATTTAAATTATACTCTATAATTACATATTTGAATGCATATATATCTATATATATGATAAATTTATATATAAAAATAAACAAAATTTAATAAATAAATTATATAGACTAATCAAACTTAAGATTTTACAACCAAATTTTATATTAAATAGTATATAATTTATATACTCTTTATATTTGCTTTTAGTACTTATTTAATATATTTTAGTACTTATTATATTTATTTTTGGTATATTCTAAAATTATTTTATTCATATTAATTTAGTCTGTAAGTATAAAAAATATTTATTTTTTTAAATATTAAAATAAGATTATGCTTCTATTTTTATTATAATTTAGTTACCCTTTTTATAAGTAAATATACAAAAGAAGTTTATATTTGAATTTTATAACTATTAAATATTAAAAGTAGAGTTATCTACAACCTAAACCTAGATAAAAAATATTTATTAATTATTAGAATTAAAAATAATGATATATGTTCACAAATTAAGTACATAAATACTTTTTTTAAGTTAAAATCTCTGCTTTTAAGAAGTAATATTTTATTCAAATTTATAGAATATAGATGCTTTCAGAAGCTTTCTTATATAAGAAATTATAACTAGTTATATGTATACTTTTAATATCTAATTTAAATAGTTTGTTTATATATTACTAAATAGGTTTTGTACTAGATTTCATATTTGCAAGCTAATTATAGATCCTGTTTATTTAAATTCTTTGCATATATAATTTATATTTTATAAAAATATATTCAAAATTATATTTATTCAAAATATTTAATACATATTATTATTCTTAGAATTACTTTATTTATAACAGAAAATTTTGTTCTATATATAGCTAATAAGTTTTATATTATATATTAGAATTAGACTAACATTTATAGTTATAGTTATTATTTATTAAACTGCTATATAGCATTCTTTTTTATTTTTATAAAGTTTACAAAAATTCTAATAGCTATCTTTCTAATATTTTCTTTACTTTTCTTTACTAAGTCTTCTTTATTTAGAACTAATAGAACTTCTTAAACTATTAAATCAGATGGCCTAGTATAGTATTCTTTTGTATCTTTTTTTAAAATAAATCTAGCTGTTTAGTTAATATATATACTTTTTTTATATATTTGTTATTTAGTTTATTTGTTTATTTCTTTAAAGAATAAATATAAGTTTACATCAATTTAACAGTATTGTTAAAAGTTCATGCTACTTTATTACTTAAAAATTTTTAAGTATATTTTTAACTTTTTAGTTTTTTTATTTTTTACATTTGGTGTTTTTATTATAAGTTTGTATCAAAATTTTATATAATATTAGTTTTTAATATTTTTCTATATATATATAATATTATATTTTATATAATTGTTTTAAGCTTTTATTCAAAATAGTTTAATATTTGTATTAAAAATTTATTTAATTTGTAAGTATAAAAAACATTTATTAGTCATTAAAATTAAAAATAAGTTTACAAATAAAGAACATATTACTTATTTCTTATTATTTAATATCTATTAAATCATTTTATTTATAGTAATTATTTATTTAGTATATGAATATAATAAATATTTATTAATTATTAGAATTAAAAAAATTATTAGAATTAAAAATAGCAAAGCAAGAATAGTAATCTTAGTATAAAAGTTGAATTGTCATTTTTTAAATAACAGGTTTAATGTTTAAATTTTATTTACAATAAAATTTAAAAAATATATCTATGTTACAGTAACTATCTTTGTTGATTAGTTGGATTTATGAATTTATAACTTTAGATATATCAAGTTAGATCCTATTTTTATTAGAAGCTTAAGACATTTATATAAAATATAATATTATATATATATATAAGAATATTAATAACCAGTACTGTATAGAACTTCAGTACAAACCTATTATAAAACCATTGGATACAAAAGACTAAAGAACTAAGAAGCTGATTTACTTAGAAATTTCTAAATAAAAAAGTAGTATAACTTTTAATAATATTATTAAATTAAATAAAGATTACAAAACACTTTTAAAAAAATAGATTAGATAATTAAGATGCAAAATATATATAATCACTTATTACCAATATTATTCAAACTAGTATATCTAAATATATTAATAATATAGACTTTGATTTATCTATAAATTAGTAAGAAAAACTTATTTACAAAATTAGTAACCATTATGCTTTCTATTATATACCTCTTCAAACAAATTAACATTTTCTTAATATTATACTTAAAGGACTTATTCCTAAATCTTTAATTTATATTGTACAAAACTTTAATATTTTATATAAATTAGATTTACAAACAATTATTGCTATTCTGCTTAAAGTTAATAAACTTTCTTATAAACAAATATGAAAACTATATTGTATAAAACTTTGCTAACTGGAAACAACAACAAGGACTTAAACCACTCTATGCCAAATCCTCATTTCAATCAAATTAAAATAATAAAAGAAACTCTAATCACAAAAATTATACTTATTCTTGTCTATGTGAGCTATCTGACCAACTATACTCAAACTCCAATACCTGTTCACCTATTGGCTATATTATCTGTAAAATCAACATCTGAACCATTTTTTGGATCAAATACAATATTTCTTATAACCATATTCTAAACTTACAAATTTAGATGAGTCTTGACCACTCTAGTAGGTTTA